AAATGCTGTAATGTTTCCGTGATAGCTAAAAGGTTCCAGGGATTCTGTTATCGATTATAAAACGACGATGTAATGCCACTTTCTGAGAGGCCTTGAGTTGTTTTCCTTCATCGGAAGCAGTATTGCTATGGTTGTCAGCGTTTAACTTCCCGAACTGATTATTTCATGAATGCTTAAGTAAAAACCAGGCAAATCATAATTTACCCTTCGTTAAGTGTAAGATGAAAAGTTCAGGATGAAGACTATAACACACACGATGCTTCGCAAAGGAAATCTTACAAGTTTCACCACAATATTCTGTATTTCTAGTCTTGCATTTCCTTGATTGTTAATTCCATATTATAAATATGCACGTACTTACTTCGTTTCCAGGCGCCAATGAAACACATTTAACGAAAGATGAATCGTAATCGATAGAAAATAAGTCCACAGGAGCTTTACTCGAACAGTTTGGTCTCTACGTAATTGCAAAAAATAGCACGATTTAATTTATCGCCTGCCTAAATAAAGTACTCTCTATGTCGTTGAAAACGCGAATGAGACCAGTCGACAGTTAAAAGACAACGATCTGATAACAACTCGAATGGTAAACAGGGCCTTAAGAGCGACGCTGAATAAGTTCCCTGAAAAATGCAAGCCTCTTTAACTTAGGCAAAACCCCATCTCTTGAAGCTGTTTTTGAAACAATTTCACTCTTCTTTACTGGAACTTTTTCTTGAATTTATATTCAGTTCTTCGCCTTAGATACAAAACAAATAGGTAACGACTGTTGAAAAAAGTTCGTCCATGCATAAGTTCTAAAGATTGTTTGACAGTTTTCAAATTAAACCATCCGTGCATTAAGACTAATACAATTGCATATCTAAACAAGAGACTTAATGACTAGAAATGTGAATCACACAATTTTTCCGACGTTTTATTTCTTTAATAATAATGAAGTTCGAAATTACTGAGCTGTTTTTCAGTGGCATATCACACCTAATGAGAACTTAAACAATTTCAAGTGTAACTTGAAAATTCGAGCAACTTCCGCCGAAGAATTAGACAAGCTGGAAAAATATAGGAGATAATTTATTAATGAAGCATTTGGTGTCTTATAGAAAGACATAAACAGCTTCTGGTATCTGTCTTGTCTGTCATCTTGAACAAAACATTTACTATGTTAAATAATGGGGGAAAATGTATTGTTTATTCTGGTAAAAGTGCGCCTAAAATATGTTTTAAAACTCCTACGGAGTGCGTGAAGCCGGCTAAATGTTTCATCGTGCACAAATTGTCGGGATGATTTTATCATAAGGACGGAAAACGTTGTGCTTTTTGTCTAACTTGTGGTGACAAAGCCGTAGGAAGAAAAATGAACGATTTTACAAGAATAGCAACTTTTCAAATAATTTCGAGCCATTATTACGTGTTGATTTAACGTTGCGTTAAACAAGATAGACGACAATTCAATAAACTATGAGTAATATGAAAAGGACGTAAGCAAATTTCAAGATAGTGTGTATGGCGAAAAAAAATAGTCATATTTGCAGCTCCATAAATTTATTTGAACTACAATGTCGAAGACTCATTAAAAACAGTCATGTTAAAAATATTTATCAACAAATTTTAAGTATCTGGCATATCAGCGTAATTTTACATCGCATTTTGTTTAATCTGTTTGTCCTCATTGTCAGCTTAAATTTGTATTGTAGCTCTGAAGCCCTTGAGGTTTGAGCAGATCGTTTGTATTGCGTTTTCTTGACGTCCGTGAATTATGGTCATCGTGGCTTTCGCGCAAGGTGGAGCTGTATAAATATACTTAGTAAATTCCGACACGAATCGTCAGTATTTGCTCAAAGACTTCCTCGAGGCCAGAGCAAGTTTTCAAACTAAAATAAATTACGTGACAGGTTGAGGAAAGTCCTTTTTAAATTAGAGAACTAACTTTCAAAACCACAAACAAGTGCAACATTTCATAAAGCAAAAAGAAAAAAACTCAATTGAAATCCTATCGTGATAATTTAACGTTGAGGCGCTTTGAAAATACTAGACAAAATTAAAAACAGGTAATTAAGTGTTAACAACTGAGTTGAAAATGTAAATTGTCACCGTAAAGAGTAAAAAAGCTGACGTTTCGAGTGTTAGCCCTTCTTCGCCACATCTTCTTATAGCGATGAAAAAAATCACACCTTCGTTGGATGCCACGCGCGAGGTAAAAGACAAAAGGAACAAATAAAAAGTGTATTAAAGTTCACACGGCAACCAGGTGGAACAGTGAACTCTCTGCTTTGATTAACAACTCCGAAACTTCCTGGGTCGAGGAGTTCTGCAGTTCGAAAGAACTGCAGACGTTTACCAAACAGGGAGAGAAACACGACAGAAAACTCCGTCACTTGCTCAGTAAGAGGTCTACTGTTAATTCAGGCTCATCTCTGAAAGATAAATGGGTCATGAACCTTTCCTCCAAGGAGTTATCCGCGCTGGAACGGAGTGGTTTAGAGAAGGGTCTGAAGTTTGCTATTGCTCCTCGCAAAATACCGACTGCCGAAATTGTCGCCGCTGTTGAGGAGAGTATCTCTCAACTCAACGACGATCATAGGCATTTGGTGAGAGCAGAAGTAAGTAGCATACTCAGGCGTGCTAAACCTCCTCCCAAAAACATTCAAAAGGATGTTTTCAATGCGCTTATAGCTCTCAAAAAGGATCCGGACAGGCTCGTATTATCTGCTGACAAGGGTAATTGTGTTGTGGTTATGGACAAACAGCAATATCACGATAAAGCTTTGTCTCTGCTTAATGACAAGAATACGTATGCTGTCTTAAACTCTGATCCTACCAGTAAAACTCAAAGAAAGTTAAACAAAATGTTGCTTGATTTGAAAAAAGCTGGTAGAATTAGTGACTCTACGTACAAAATGTTATACAGTAGTGACGGCTTATGTCCACGTTTTTATGGCTTACCTAAAATTCATAAACCGGGAATTCCTTTGAGACCCATTGTCTCTTTTGTTAATTCTCCGACTTATGCAATTTCTGGTTATCTTGCGAGAATTTTGTCGCCTGTTGTTGGGAATACTGATTACACTGTCAAAAATTCCTGCGAATTTGCGGATTTCATAAGAGATGAAACTCTTAACGCTTGTGAAGAATTAGTATCTTTCGACGTTGTTTCGCTCTTCGCCAAAATCCCAGTTGATCTTGCCGTTAAGGGTACGGAGGAAAGACTCAGAGAAGATGCTTCCCTGGGACAAAGAACTTCTTTGCCTGTGGAGGATATTATTCATCTGCTGTCTTTTTGCCTCAAAACCACGCAATTTACATATAACGGCACATACTATCAACAAGTTTTTGGTACAGCGATGGGTTCGCCTGTCTCTGCTGTCATTGCTAACATGGTAATGGAAGACGTGGAACAAAGGGCCTTAGCCACTTCACTGGTTAAACCTTTTTTCTGGAAACGATATGTCGATGATGTTATTTCTGCGGTATCCGGAAATGAAGCGGAGCGCCTCTTGTCGCATTTGAATTCAGTAGAGCCGTCGATCCAATTCACCCTTGAGCGTGAAAAGGATAGACATTTGCCCTTTCTCGATTTAAATGTGTCCAGAGGGGTTCAGGGTAATTTAGAGACAAGTGTCTACCGTAAACCTACCCACACCGACAAATACCTCGCTTTCGATTCTCACCACCCTATTTGCCATAAAAAGTCTGTAGCCAAAACTTTACTTAGGAGGGCTGACTGTCTACCATCTTCACTCGATTCGAAGGCTGAGGAGAGGAAATATGTTTCCAATGTCCTAAAGGCAAATGTCTATACAAAAACTTTTCTCCGTAACTGCCAAAAACCAGTTACAAATAGTAACGCTCTTGATGAAAGGGAACCAGCGACTGGTTTTGCTGTTATTCCTTACATACAGGGTGTTACGGTTCCCATCAAGAGAATTTTGAATAGCCACAACGTTAAAGTTGCTCAAAAACCTTTTCAGACTTCGGGGCATATTTTCGCCAAACCCAAGGATCCTGTCACTAAAGAACAACGAACCGACGCCATTTATTCTATTCCCTGCAATGACTGTGACAACGAATACACCGGACAGACCAAACGTCAGTTTGGTACACGGTTTTTCTCTGCAAAAAGGAAAATTCAGCTTTATCGGAGCATACATGCCTAACCAACCATACAATTGGGTGGGATAATTCTAAAATCATCACCACTAATCGGCGTTACCACCAGCGCCTTTGTTTGGAGGCTTGGCATATTAACTCCGCCCACGCTCCTTTTAATCGTGACGATGGCGGTTTGCTTCCTGACGCCTATTTATACCTCGTCAGAGAAAAAGGCCGCTAATTAGTGATTGTATAAAAGGACCTCTTGTTGCAGCGTTTAGATCACCCCCTGATGAAGGCACTAGACAGGAGTTTCGAAACGTTGGGTCTGTGAATCGTAGCTTCTTCGGTTACATTCATTAAATCTGCAAACCAGAGTAGCATCAAACTATGTCCAAATAAAAAGTGATAACAAACGCGCTCTGCCAAAACCTCGAAAAACTTGCTTTTAGCAGTATTTCATTCTAAAAACATTTCTAGAATTCAGTTTTGACAGTTTTTAGAAAAGTCTTGTACGAGCAAGATCTGCTTTTCCTTTTTTAAAAGTAGAACGGTCACTCCAACTTCAAGCAGTCTCAAATCCTTTTCTAAGGTAGACTTGTTGGTTCCAGAAAGTAAGCGCCTCATTAGAAAACAGCTGTGCGCCAGCGCCTGCTCTCTGCGAACATTTGGAGAAGCTGTTGACAGCTCCTTACTTTGAACAAAGATTATTAAAATCCGCTGTAAAACGAGTCTGCCTTTTGGTCGAGCGTCGAGGGTCCAAGGGATTTGTACCTGATACAATTGAATTGCTTCAAGACGGAAGAAAATGGAAGAAAACCTGCCCTACTGTCTGGAGGGGACATGCTCGCACACGATTTGCGGACTGTAAAGGTTCTGTTAAGTGCACCAAGGAACACTGTCCATTTAAGATGCAATTCGGGGTGACCAAAACCACTCAGTTCGAAAAAAAGTGTGACGGGAAACAGGTGTGCAAAGGATGCGGCAGTGAAGGCGAATTTGTACCTTGCTGTGCACGTAGGTACCTAAGTTACGGGAAAAATAAGGTTACCGTCTATCACGTTGGAGAACACACATGTCCTGTTACTTCGATACAGAAAAAGAAAGACATCAAGACTATCGAGCAACTAGTCAAGGACAACCCAAATATAAAGCCTTCTGAAATACAGTCTACCTTTGTTCGTTCCGCCTTTCAACGAGAAATGGACTGGGACGAGGTTGAGAAAGAAGCCGCTGCTAGCATGGACAAAAAACGTATTTCTAATAATAAGCAAAAGGTTAAAAGAGACATTGAGCCGTTTGGCCATAACTTTGAGGCCGTCGTCTCGTTCAAAGAGTATTCTGATAAACGGGATTTGCTATATATTTATAAGGTAAACGACAGAAGAGGAAATCCCGACAAGCCCTCTTTTGTCTTCAAGACAAGTTCTACAAAAGCAAAAATTACTTTAAGCATGGACAAAGACGGCCAGGATTTTATGAAAAACGAATTCTGTTTTTTTGACGGAAAGCGAAAACGCTGCAGGGGTTTTACAACCTTAACTGCATCAGTATATCATCCATTGTTACGAAAGCAGATCCCTCTGGCGATCATGGAAACAGAAAGAGAGGATTCAATAAATGTTGAATTGTTTTGGACGCTTTTTAACGAGGCGCTGGGAAAAGTGGCAAACGATCCTTCAATAAAATTCAATCCTTTCGGTTGGTGTAGCGATATGGCGGGTGCTAGCCTAGCAGGCATTACGAGGGTTTATGGTAATGCAATCTTAATAAAATCGTGCGAGTTCCACTTCAAGGACCATCGCAACAAAAAAGCACAAAAACTAGACCCAGATAGTGCGGAAGAGTTTAAGGGACTTTGCGATAGACTGTTGAATAGCACGACCGTGGAAGATTATGAATCTGCAAAGGGACAGATGGACGAATTCGTCAGTGCAAAAGAAGACAGAGCTTTCTTGGTAGATTGGGTTTCTTGGTGGCACGACAGACGTGGGTTCATTTTTCGCGCATTTGCTGTACAGGATGCACCGCAGACGAATCAAGCAGAGGTGATCCACGCTGGTTGGGTGCACAGAGACCGCCCCAATTTATCACTGTTAGATGCATGTCAAGCGGACACACGAGATTCTTTGTTGCTCGACGTTGAACTAAAAAACTACCAGTTCGGTTCTGCATCGGGTGGAAGTGGCTCTTCCTTCGCTGATCGGCAGAGGAGGAGACATGCTAGCCAAATAAATAAAGCCCGATCCATTGGAAAAGAGATGTTTGAAGATGACAATGAAAAACACAGCTTACTGATTGACCCGCAATCGTCACACCGTCCTAGCGGTAGAAAAAAGTCAAAACGGAATCCGAAGAAGTATCTTGAAAAGAGTGAGACTAACACTACTCCCACACTCCAGCAACCAGATGTTGTGACACCTATGGCACCACAGATGTCTTCTGCAGCACTGCAGATACCCTCCCAAATGCTGCCACAATATACACTGCTACAAGGATCCCCTCGCATACTGGCTCCCCAGCTATCAGCGCACCTGCCTTTTCAGACCCCCCTTGGCATACAACAGCTTCAAGTAACACCCTCGCCTCCAATTTCTCATCGTATACGCATGCAGGTGCCCCCACCGGTTCCGCCAATTGGACCAGCATTGCCGCAACAAGCACCGGCTCCGTCGTGGAATGCTGGTATGTCACCTAATGCGTATGAGGTTGTGGTAACACCCGCCAAGGTGCAAAAGTGCTATGGTTGCGGAAATGACTTTTCTCCGATGTACAAAAGTCCACCGACGAATAAAGTCATTAAACATGTGGACAGGAGAGTAATAAGGAGAAACGAGCAAACTGGACAGCTAGTGTACAGCAGTGATTTCAGCAATACGTATTATCATCCGATTCCGTCACACATTTCAAGGAAAAATCCTCTTTTCACGGGACTTGTATACATTGAAAATACCGTCTATGCTTCCTTAAATCAGGCACAACGGCGGCGATGTTCTTAATTCACTTCAATTTAATATTATTATGCGTTAATAAGCTGTAGCAAAAGTACCCTGGATACGGTTTTTCGAAAGACATTTGCTAGTGATTTCAGTAGTAAATAATAGTAATAGTAATAAGTAATAATAAATAATACTCTGGATACAAACATGCAGCCATTCAGCGACTCTGATAGATCAGACAGCCAATTAAACACGCCTTTACATTCGGTGTTTGGTGTGTGTATTGTGTATTGGGAAATCTTCGGGACACCTTCGGCATATAGTCGGGAATTTTCTTAAAAGGAAAGACCGAAAATGTCTTGTTTGTATTCTCCAACATTATTCTCGCAAAACGCCGGAATAACGAATTGAATTGGCTACGCTCGTACAATGTTATTGATATTTGAAAAATCTTCTCGTGGATATTTGTTCCAGATTGCAAGCCATGTGATTACCTATACTAAATGCACTTAACTGGCATTTTCGCACAATTTGGTCGCTAAATTGTCGACCATATCCTCATAACTTTGTTTCCTCCCCCCTGCATTAAAACAACAGATTACACTGACCTGCTCGCTTTCTTGTTTTTCTTCTTTGGTGGTGAATCAGTAATATCAATCACATCGTTTCGTTTTTGTGTCATCTAGGGTTAAAAATTCAAGATTCAAGGTATCGCAGAGGTCATGGGTTCAAATCCCGCACAGGCCTGAATTTTTTTAAGGTCCTATTTTAAACTACTCCTTTCAGTGGTGTTCTTAGCTGCGAGGATCTCCGTTAGTTTCATCTCTTCACCGCAGTGCAAATATATGAATTTTCATATGTCTAAAATAATCGCACATAAGTATATTTCCGTTCTTACTGAACCTAAGTTTTTACATACAGATTACTGAATGTTCAGCTTAAAAAATGTCTAAAATCATCATTCATCACTTGGATGGTTTATTTGGATCCAACACATTGACCAGCTCCTAGTTGGCTTGTTAGCTCAGTTGGTAGAGCGCTGCACCGGTATCGCAGAGGTCATGGGTTCAAATTCCGTAAGGGCCTGAATTTGTTAAGGTCCTATTTGCAACTACTCGTTTCAGTAGTGTTCTTAGCTGAGAGGATCTCTTGATTTCATTTCTTCACCGCAGTGCAAATATATGAATTTTCATATGTCTAAAATCATCGCACATAAATATATTTCCGTTCTTACTGAACCTAAGTTCTTACATACAGATGACTGAATGTTTAGCTTACCTTCCCACGGCCACGTGCATGGTTCAATCCAGGGGTTGTCTTATGTAGACTTTCTTCAGAGTCACTCTTACATCTCTACCTTACCGAATTGGCTCTGCTTTACGGCAAAGCGAAGTGAAGACTATTCCATACAGCGATTACGCCATGTAATGGTTTCGTGTCAGTCTTCACGATGACGTCATGCCCCCAACAGATCGCTGTTCCATTTGCAGTTTGTATTTTTGGTGGTTTCGGCGAGATGCCTTGGCGGCCGTCACCACCAAAAATACAAAGATGTCGTATAGATCAGCAAATACAAGAAGAAGACAGAGAGAAGACGCTGAGCCATTTCACGCAACGCTACACCATTTGTGTGTACGCTGTACCATTCGACATTATGCAAAGCCACTTCACGCAACGCTACGCTGTTTGTATGTACGCTGTACCATTCGACATTACGCTGAGCCATTTCACGCAACACTACACTGTTTGTATGTACGCTGTGCCATTCGACATTGCGCTGAGCCATTTCACAGAACGCTACGCTGTATTTATGTACGCTGTACCATTCGACATTACGCTGAGCCATTTCCCGCAGCGTTACACCATATGTGTGTACGCTGTACCATTCTACATTACGCTGAGCCATTTGACGCAACGCTACACCGTTTGTGCGAAGGCTGTGCTACTCGACGTTACTCTGAGCCGTTTAACGCAACGCTACACCGTTTGAGTGCTGCATTGCAAATGAGTGCTAAGCTATTCGTAATTGAGCTAGTCCATTTCACAATCTCATGTTCCAACTCAACATGGGCTACTAGACCGTTTCTCATTTGGCTAAACTATTCATGTTTAGGTTATTCTGTTTCACGAAGGAAAACTAGACTGTCTATAATTTGGCCATGCCATTCCTTTATTCGCTATGCTATCCTGCAGCTGATCCTTACACCATCTTTGTATTTGCTGATCTATTTGACATCCTTGTATTTTTGGTGGTGACGGCCGCCCATAGGTTAGCGCTTGAGGCCACGCAATAAAGGCAATTATTGTGCAGTGAATATTTCACAGCAGTCGGGTGTTTATTTGACATCGGATTCTCATACAAATACTGCAAGGTCACGCCTGCACACCGACCCATCAAGGTGGTGTTGAAAACTGCAATAAGGTCTATTGGATATTCTTAAAGTACTGAATTTCACACTTTGACTCACAACTACAGAATATGGGGCTTTTTTATAATTATGTACCAAACGAAAAAAAAATACTTTCTTAGCTCATTTGCATCAAGCCACCTCATATAATGCATCAATGTCTTGTTTTTTGTATACCGAGTCAGTGCTGAGTTAGAATTGATATTTAAATCTTAATTATAATCATTTAAATTCAACTGAATGTATTTCTTTTATTACTTTTCCACTGACTGCCAAACCAGCAAGCCTTGAGGCATTTAACAGTGAGGACTTTTAAAAAAGCCCTATATTGTATACATGTAGCTGCTTTGGGGGAGGGGAGTGGTAAAGTTTCAAATTTGTTTAAGAGTATGTAACACAATAATAATAATGATAATAACGATAATAATAATAATGATAATAATTCATTTTTTCCATCCTTTGCTGCAAACACATCTGACTTGGAGTAATTAGTGGAACATACCAGAATAGCCTTTTTATTAATGCAAGGCCTCAGTGGTGCACAGTTATGATATGAAAATAATTTTCTCTTGTGTGAGGCATCAGTCAATTTAGGAATTACTGAGGGTAAAATTCCAAGTCAATAAAGTCCAGAAACTATTCATTTTTTTTAGAGGGTGGGGCTGGGGGAGGGGGGTAAGAGGTCGAAATGATTAGGTTTGCGTACCGTTTTCACTCTTTGCGCCCCGCGCTCTAAAACAAGCACACTTCAGATGGATGCGCAACACAACAGAGTCAAAAATAATTGAGCAAATATTTAAGACGTGTAAAGCTTCCAGGGATGATATAAAGCAAGCTGTAAACAGTGAAAAGGCCTTATAGATTTTACTCTTAGCTTCTTTAAAGGTACAGTTTAGTTCTGACAAGATTATCAAGTTGTCAAATACATATTTAAATATGATTGATACCAATTTTCTCATAAGATCGAAATAAGCTTTATATCAAAAATAAATAAGCGGATTACTAAATTTATTGCGAATTTTGTGGTTCATTAAAAGAAGTACTTAGTTCAATTACGTGGTTCAACGAAAGGTTAATGCTATTTGCCTGCTGGGATTTTATGTCTTCCATACAATGTCAATGTCACCGCTATTTTGACGTGCTAAAATAACATTGAATACATTTGCAAGACCTGTTCACGATGAGGTGCCCTTTTTGCGATTGTGCTGCAATCCAGCGAGTCCTTCGGAAAAACATGTCACCGAGAGCAGAGCTTGTAAGACACTATTCAGAAAGCAAGTATTTCCTAGGTTTGAAATTCCCTTTGGTTCCATTTGACCGTGAGTAGAGTTTAGAATTAACGAAGATAGCGTATTTTAGCCAAAGGCAGAAGATTCGTATATGAACGGAGCGCAGCGAGGTAAGATAATATTCTTTCCCGCAAAAATTACGGATATGATTTCGAAAAAGCGAAAGAATCTTCTTTGTCCATGTCCGAAACGTTCGGCTACGTTCAGTCTTTGGATCACGCCGAAAAGATGATTTCAAAATTTGAAACGAAGAGCACCGTAAAATTTTCCTGTTACAAGGCTGACAAGGACTTTAGAAATCATGGTATATACTATTGAAGTTAATTATTGACTAAATTAACTATACTTAAACAGGAACATAATTTATTCATGCAGAAATATAAATTTTCATCTTCATTTTAAGAATTATTTTTCTTAATTTCCAACATTTTCTGCTACTTTTGGTCATCCACTCATAGGATAGCTTCAGCTATTTGAACATACACAACTCTTTAATTATCATTACCGGTATTTTTCCTTTCATTTCTCATTTGGTTTTATTACCAGCTGTATTTCTTTATCTCTTTTTGTAAATAAGTATGCGTGCGTTCAAAGTAAAACTAATCATATCTTCCAACAATATATTGCCGCATGTAAGACTGTGAGTGACCAACAGATCTTTCAATGTTATTGTTGCTGGCTGTCTATAGATTAAAGGAAAGGGAACCACAGACTTTACTGGGAGGATCTCAAAGAGGTCACTGGTAAGAAAATAGAGTTTACAGGAGTAACCTTCTATATTATGGGCTGCAAGCTCTTTGACTGCCAATATGGGAAAGGCAGAAATGCTGCTCTAAAAAGAAAACAACGGCAGCAACGTGACGAGGTTAGTAAATATATCGATAACCCTGGGGTTATATGATACCTCCAAATGCAAATAAATTAGCGCATTTTGTATTTTGATCCAAATTACGAGGGGGGTTGAGCAAATCAACCTCAGGTATGTTGTTTTGTCTGTTTGCTTTTCAGGATGGCAATTTCATTTTCAAGAAAAATCGATTCCTTGCGCAGCCATCCAAAAAAGCAAATTGTCCAGCAAGGTTGAAATTAAGGGAGGTGGTAGCATTTCCAGATCACAAGGTAAATAACTTATAAAATAATGCAAAAAGACACTATGTTTGGCCATAACAATAACAACAACAACAATACAGTGTAGTAATAATAATGATGATAATGTAATGATGATGATGATAATAATTATTATTATAATATTATTATTATTATCAATATCATCATTTTTTTATTGTTATTAATACTATATTACTACAGTGAAGAATTAGATTCATTAAAATTTAATGCGATTTATTGCATCCGATTAAGTTCT